CCAACTATAGAAATTGTGGGACTGACCCAATGTAAAGTGAGAAATAGAGAGATCTTTGTCACAAAATCGTTAAGAATTTCCAGATTGCCTAAGCAGAGCATTAACCTAGCACAGGCCCTTCTAAGTGACCACATGACTGCACAGCTTGCTGGCCTGTAAAGCCAGCCCAGCCTCATGGGGCAAGTGGAGGAGTTCATCCTCCATGTGAATTGTGTCAACTCAAGACATTAAAAACCCACAGGAAAGGTCAGCCCTGAGTGTCTTAACCCTCCAGTGGGATTGTTCCCTTTCTTTAGAAATTTCCACCGTTTGGGCTCTGATCATGATTAGGCAGGTCTTCTCTGATTAAATCAATGACCAAATGTGAGATAATTTTAGCAACAAAAAGAATAAAGTTAACACATTGATTACATAACAAGCCATAATTATCCTCAGAAGAACACAGTGAAAATCATTCCCTCATCTTTCCCTAGCAGAAGTGACAATAACCAGCTACTCACCCTGAAAATTAGGGCTTCCAGAACAAGGGTTTCAGCTTGTGTCTTGTTTTCCCAGCAGGGACCAGTGTCCTGGGGTGTGAGAGAAGCCCCTCTGCAAAAAAGATGCCTACATCTAAATGCAGTTGGCACGAGAGTCAGTGACTGGCTTGTGCATTAGCTAATGCAGTGGGCTCAGGCCAGGAACAGCATGGGGGATGCAGCAGTCATTTGGGGGTTAAAACTGGGCATATGACAGTCACAGGCACTCTGCCTCACACCCATCCAAGTCTGGGAGAATGGCATCCCCGCTTCACTGCACCAGCTCCAGTAGCCCCTCCCTCAACGGATAGGTCCACCTCTCACTCATTCCTCAGGGCCACCTGAGATCCCCCAATACAGCCCTCCTGCATGACAGCCTTGGGTTCCCTTGAACCCATATAATCAATCCCTAAGCCCCACAGGCTATACAATTTCTTATCCCGACTCTGAGGAGACCCCAATCCCTTCACAACTCCACTCTATGCCCACCTCTGCTTACCCACAACCCACCTCTGCCAAGGTCTCCAAGGATTTCAGCCAAGCATCCTATGGTCCACAAACAGCAGAGAAGGGAACAAAACCAAGAGGAGAGATTTACATCCCATTTCCCAGGTTGTGGTTGTGGATTCTCTAAGGACAGGCATGTGGAGTTAGGTCACGAAGGGCCTGAAACAGGGTCACCCAGGGCAGGCCTGCTGGTAGCTAGCATGACAGGGACCTGCATGCTTACTAGAGTTGTTGAGTTATAGGACAGAACACCTTTTAAAACCTCTGTGATCTTTTTCCTTAAAAGTGCAGTGGAGATGTGTGTGGAGTGAGAACACTGTTGATGGTTAGAGAATCATGGTAAAGGCATGCCCTCTCACACTGGCATGTCTTCTCAGATTCTGGGACAAAGGCCAATCTGATCCCCCCGCCCCCCCCCCCCCCATTGGAATCAAGGCAGACACCAAGTTAGAAGGGAGGGAGAAACACCAGAAGTGTTTATTTGGAGAATTGTAACCAGATAAGGGAAGAAATTTGAAAATATGGTAAGGATTGACACTGAACAAAATGGCAGGATCAGCTAACTACAGGTAGGCAATATCAAAGTACAAGATGCATCGGACAAAGTTAAAAATTGCACAGGACATTTGTGGTAACACAGATGGATCTTAAAAACCTTGCAAAGGCCATTCCTCACCTGTTCTGGGTCATGAGTTCTGCAGGCTGGGCTAACCTATCCATGGTCCTCTCTGCTTGGATGCTCACCTGCTTCCTCTCCCTTGACAAGCTCAGGGATTATTCCATATTTCCTGATGTAGAAACTAACTCCCCAGCACTGGATGAGGCACCCCTTGGTTTCCCACCACCCTCAGGTGTGCAGGGATCAGCTCGGTGCTCCCACATGAGCTGCACCACGGGATGTCTGGGAGGCTCAGCACCCAGCCCTGGCCTCCTTGGTAGGACATTGCGGGACAGAAGGGATTGGCAAGAAATATTCAAGTGATGAAAAGCAAGGACCTACAGCCAATATTACTCTACCCAGCAAAGCTTTCATTTAGAATGGAAGGACAGATAAAGAGCTTTCTACACAAGAAAAACCTAAAGGAGTTCATCTCCACCAAATCAGTGTTGTATGAAATGTTAAAGGGTCTTCTTTAAGAGGAAGAAGATAAAAAACATGAACAATAAAATGGCAATAAATACATATCTAGCAACAATTGATTCTAAAAAAACAAAATAAACAAGCAAAACAGAAAGGGAAACATAGATACAGAGAACATTTTCATGGTTGCCAGATGGGAGTGTGGTTGTGGGGATGGGTGAAAGGTGAAGGAGTTAAGGAGTACAAATTTCTAGTTACAGATTAGTCATGGGGAGTAAAGTACAGCATAGGGAATAGAGTAGCCAAAGAACATACATTAGGTCTGTCCAGGAAAGCATTCAGTCATGTACCAAGAAAAATAAAGACATTTATTGAAGGAAATATAGAATACACAAGTATCCTGTATTTATTGAAGGAAAAATACTGAAATTTTTAGTAAAATAAAAGACATTTATTGAAGGATATACAAGTACAATGATGCCTCAGTCCCCTTCAAAGTGGGCACCTTGGGACCTCACATGGTTCTCCCAGCATCTCTTCCACTCTTCAAAATTCTCTGCAAAGCCCTGGCTGGTGTAGCTCAGTGGATTGAGCACGGGCCTGTGAACCAGAGGATCTCGGTTCGATTCCCAGTCAGGGCACATGCCTGGGTTGCAGGCAGGTTCCCTGCAGGCCAGTTCCCAGCAGGGGATGCACTAGAGGCAACCATACATTGATATTTCTCTCCCTCTCTCCTTCCCTTCCCCTCTAAAGATAAATAAATAACTCTTTAAAAAAATTCTCTGCAAAATCTTTTGTTGGAATCACCATCAGCTGCCCACAGAATATGGGAGCAGGTCAACTCTGAGCAGAGATTGACCCTCAGCGGCCAGAGAGATTCTATTTTTATAAGGTGGATATTTCCTGGCTAGTTTTGGTGGGGTTTTATTGTACATGTACAAGTACTACTATACTACTTTTAAGCTACCATGAATGTGGTCTCCCATGATTTTCCTTGATTGCCCACTGGGGGAGAGGGGTCCTACAATGCTAATTTATCTTAATGTTATTATAACGAAGCAGGAGCCATATAGCACTTCTGCACCATGATTTGGCGCTTTCCTAGAAAGCAGGGACAAGCAGTCTTAGAACAGGGTCTCTATCCTGTATCGATGTCCGATGTCCTAGTCCTTGGGTGCCTCTGGGGTTTTCTCATTCCTGAGGAACCAATCTTAGAACAGAGTCTCTGTTCTATATCAAAGTCCATTGTTTCAGTCCTGGGGCATCTCTGGAGTTTTCTCATTCCTGACTTTCTCCTGACTCAAAACCATGCCAGAGGGAAGAGAAGGGAGGGTGGAGGGGGGCCTAACATGTGGTGATGGAAGCTCTCTGTTCTTATCTGGGTCTCAGAGCTGCAGCTTGACAGCTGGAGGCAAGGTCAGTGGAGGGCTTTTCCCAGAATGCCACTCTGACCTCACAAACAAGGCACTGGGCAGGGTTGGTAGCTTCTGGCCTTCTTGACTTGCTTCTCCCAGTATGGAAAATCTTCCTGCCAGCAGGCCAGGGCAATGCTGACAGAGAGCCCAGTATTATGAGCCCACTGTCGCTGGGTGGAGCCTGGGCCCCATTAGTGACATTTGGGTGGAGGAGAGAATCCTTAACCTGTCAATCACAATGGCCTGAAATTACCGTCTGAGACTCAGAGCTGAGGGGGTGAGTAAGGCTGGCAGCCAGCCCCACTGGTGGGGATGTCACAGTCTTTGACTGGCAGATGGAAGAACTGGAGCCTGTGTTTTTGGCCCCACCCATTCAGGTTAATTTCATTAGGCAGAGCTGGGGTGGGTGGTGGGCATTGGTGGGGGCTTGTAGATCAGGTTGCTGTTCTGATAGTGTATTTTCTTTTCAAAAAATTTAAAAATATATGTTTATTTTAGACCAAGAGGAAGAAAGGGAGGGAAAGAAACATGAATATGAGAGAGAAACATGGGTTGGCTGCCTCCCACTCCCCACCCCTGACAGGGAATTGAACCCCTACCTCTGGTTTATGGGAAGACGTTCCAATGAACTGAGCCACACGAGCCAGGACATGACACTTAGTGTATTTTCTTGAATGATTTTTTAAAAATAATCCATTTAGAGGAAATTTCTTTCCTGCTTCTCTGGGTCCATAAGAGGAGACTTCCAGGCTCCTTCACCGTGTAGCCCTCACAAGGCCTTCATTTTAAGTTCTTGTGTCCATGACTAACCCCAATTGCCCAAAGACCATGAACAGTGGCCTCACTGGTGACAACAGGTCCCACAGCCACCGACACATCTCTCCCCGGGCTGCTCAGGTGCCAGAGCACACATTAGGCTCTGGCTTCCAGGCTCCTTATTTCTGGCACCTGTGATTTTAACTGTGCCTCATTCACACCCAGCTGTTTACTGAAAATACTTTTCCCAGAATATGTTTTTAAACAGACTGCGGGCCTTTTGAAAAATGTCTGAGGGCCAAGCATGTGTCAGGTCCTGAACTTCAGACCAACGCCAGGACAGAGTCCACCCCGTCCTCCCAACAATCAGTGTCCCCAGGGGGAGATGCACCGTTGAATTGTGAGCAGGGAGGGAAAGACTGAGGGAACAGGACCAGAGATCCTTGTAGTGGGGAGTCAGAGAAGAGCTCCAGGAAGAGAACGTTTTATGAAGTCAGGAAAGACACACCGTCTGTGGCAGGCACCCATCCTCAGGGACCCTCCTGCCCCAGGGGCCTCCCCACACCTGTGCCATTCAGTCAAGCCCACAGAAGAGACAAGTAGGATGTGTGCTGATGTTTCAGGGTCTGGGGGACGAGAAGGTCAGGACCAAAAGGTCCTGCATGATCTACCTGGTTATACAGAGTCGCTCCCATTTGAAAGATGGTTTATTTTTTAGGACAGGATAACAACGTCACACCTGCAGAGACAGTGGTTTGTTGATGGGCAGGGGGCACTTGGAGCTGCAGGGAAAGGATGTCATCCCTTGGGATGTGGTCTTCAAGCTTGAGGTGTCTTGATCTTCCACACTTCGGTTTCACAGCCTTGTCTGAATCCACAGCTGAGGTTGAAACCGGTAATGTAATGTGGTTTTGATGTCAACGTGAAAGAATTTCTACTTCTTTTTCTAACCAGTCACCTGGGGCATAAAGGTCTGGTTTCTTTCTCCTTTTCTCTCTGCTCTCCCCCAGCTCCACTTCGGCTCTTGCACGCTTGCTCCAAAGACTCCGAGCTGTGCTCTCTTCCCTGTTCCCCTTCTCTTACCACTAACCCTCCCCAGCCTTTCCCTCCATGTCTGACCCCGCAAACTCTTCTTCCTTTTTAACTCTCCTCTCTCCATCTTTTGCATTCTGCCTTTTCTTTTATTCTTTCCTCTCCAAATCTCTGCTCCTCACCCTTCCTCCATCCACTGTCCCCTCCTCCCACTGCTCCACCTGTCTCTTCCCCTCCATCTGCCTCTGTCACCTGACTCCATCTCTTCCCTCCTCTCTGTCACCTGACTCCCTCTCCTTACCCAGCTCCATCTCTTCCCTACTCACCCACGTCTTTTCTCATCCTCCCCCAGACACTATTACCCTGTATCAGACGCAATTCTTCCAAGCTCTATCCTTGTCAAAGTTGGCAGTGACTGAGCACCACGCCTGCATCAAAACACTCCCATCGGTTGTGCAAGTGTAGTACAGTCTCCCTTTATAGACAAAGGGAAAGAAGCAAGGGGCATAGTCTGAAAAGTAGAAGGAGGGGTGAGAAAATTAGTTGAGGGGAGGTGATTTTGGTCTCATCAAGAGGAAAGGGACATGAGTGGGACACCTGGGGCTGGACGGGCAGATGCGTGCAATTTCCATGTAGGATGCAGTTATGGACCCTGCCCCTCCCCCTGCACCTGGGAAGCCACACACTCCCCACAGGAGGAAAAGCTCCTACTCACCATTCTTTGTACAGTATTTCCATCTTCCTAAATATTCTTCATCTAGAGAACACCAGTCTCTTACAGACTTAAGGCTAATGCAATTAAAATACTTCTTGCCTGCATAGGTAAATGGGATAGCACATCTCTCCTCTGGAAAAAGAAAAAGGCAGGCACTGTTCTCATCAGCTCTTTCGTGTGTCGTCCCCTCTGCACTCACACTGGCAAGGTTTCTGCTCAAGCCAGCCCACCGAGACACGGCGCCTGCCACGCACGCAGCCCTCCAGGCAGCGTCAGGGATCCCGTGGCCTACGCGACAGGGTCCCTGCCCAGGGACAGGTTCACCTTCCCGATATCCACCCGGACACATGCCTCGTGGACACTGGAGCTCCAGGCGACACATGCGCTCGCCAGACCACAACGCAGCCTGGTCTGAGATCGTGATTTTTTTAGATGCTGTAGATTTGTGGTGTCTGGAGCTTCCGCTTCCCCTGGTTCGACACTAAAAGTCTAAGCACGTTTCATATTTGGGAACACAGGTGATGTCTTGTTATTGTCATGAATAATCTTCCTCACATCATTCAGAAGCCCGACAGTGAGCCGCATTCACGGTGTAAGAACAGGAGGGTCAGCGTGCAGTGGCTTCGGCCCTTGAACAGACTGAAGAGGAAAACTACGGGGATCCAGAGAGGGCGCTGTGGGCCTGCGGCCAGGCCCAGCGGCTGTGGCCTGCAGGAATTCTCTCAGCTGCCTCAATGAGTTTACTGGAGGCAAACAGCACCTCTCTGCAACTCCCGCGTCTTCTGTCACATACCCTCTGCCCCACCCAGTGCTGCCTTCTGCTTCCTGGACAGGCTCCCCTGTAGGACGCCCTCCCCTCCAACGAGGCTCTCTCCTGAGGCTCCAGCCCCACTACCTACCGGTGGCCTGGCCTGAACGAGTGAACAAGTCGGGGTGAGGCAGGGGGAGGGCTTGCGCTGCACCCACAGCCTGCGGAATGTGGGCACCTGCCGTCCCATCACTGAGGGGGGAAATTAGCCCAGGCGTGTAGCATGCCCTTGAAGAATGCTGACCACGGGCACCCACCCCACCCACGTTAGTTTGTTTGACGTGATTGTTTTGTTTTCATCATTTTCCAACACTGCTTCCCTGAGGAAATGGGAGGAGGACAGATGACACGGAGCTGGAAAAAGCACAGGTGTGGTGGGGCCGCAGAGAGCAGGGAGAACAGAAAGGAGCCGTCTGAACGCCCTGATGGCAGGGTCCGCTCTGCTGCTCCAACTTCCTGTCACCTTAAAAGGTGATCATTTTTCTCCTGTGCTAAGAACACAACATGAGCTCTCCCCACTACAAACATTTTTTTACTTTAATTTTTTATTGATTTTAGAGAGGGAGGAAAAAAGAAAGAAAATATATTCATTTCTTTCTTTCTTTTCTTAGTGGAACTAAGTGTTGTTCCACTTAGTGATGCATTCATTGGTTGATTCTTATACATGACCTGACCAGGGATCAAACCCACAACCTTAGTGTGTCAGGACAACACTCTAACCAACTGAGATACCCAGCCGGGGCTCCCACTGAACCACATTTGTAAGTATAAGCTCCACAGATCTGCTCTACAATGTAGTGACTATAGTTAGCAACACAATTTTCTTCAGAGTTTGAAGGCCATTTTATTAGAAACGATTATCTGAGAAGGCTACAACATACCACATGAGTAAGAACCTCACACTCCCTGACAGCTGTCATATTGACACACGTGACTTACACGACCCCCTGAGACACAAGTGTACCACACTAATCATGGATGTGCCCTGACAATATGCCTTCCCTGTTACTGCAAACACTCACCTCTATTTACATTAAAAACTCACTTGGAGCGATGTAAGTAACCCTGTGTTACAAAGGCTGCCCATGTCTGGAACACTGGAAGGCAGTCAGAAATGAGGCAGCTGTCATGAGGATGGATGGTCAATAACACCATGAGCTTTTGAGTCAGACTGACCACATTTCAGAGACTTGTTTGAAGAGAAAATGAGTCCTTGGGACACACTCGAGGAATGGCAGATATATTGGTTGCCATCATCATCATCATCATCATCATCATTAGTTTTACCATTCTACCCACATCTGGTGCCCTTTCTTGCACCCCAGTCCCGGCGCTTCTCCCCTCCCTCACCTCCGTGCACATGGTCCATATGCAGAAAGGCGCAGGCGCCGATCCAGATGAGGAGAGTTCGCATGTTCGGTGCCATGGCAGTTGGCCTTCTGCGACTGACAGACGTCAACTTCTGCTGCCTTCTTATATGAGCAGCTTCCCCTCATACCACACCCCTCCCACCAGATAGGAATCAACCTCACCAGGATGGTGCTTGTGTGTTCCCAAGCCTGAGTGCATAAAGTTCAAGTTTATCTCTCAGGTGAAATCACAAGACATTGGCCCATGGTTTAATGTCTCTGGAGTCTATAGTTTAAAGTGCATTGAAAACAAGGCCAAGATGTTTGTAAAATCCCTTTCCGAGTTAGCGTTCCATGACCAGGCAAAGGGCAGAGGGAATGATGAAAAGGACCGTCTGCTCTCACAGGGCGTTCAACAGACTCCACTTCATTTCCTGTTACAGACTCAGCATCAGGAGCCCAACCAGCTGGCCTGTCAGAGCTTTGGAGAAGTGCCTTAAGACCACCATGGAAGTCACCATTTAGAGGAGGAGGAAACAGGTGTAGGGACTCCTCTAGGGCACAGAGTAAGCTGGGGCAGGGCTGGCTGTTAAGACCACCCAGCCTAGAGGGCATGTTCAAAGTGGGAGTTTCCCTGCCGTGTCTCACACTGGACCATATTTATCTCTCCCAATAGGCTTCCCCACCCTGGCTCAAAGCTCAAGGATCACCAGAAACATGGCTTGTTTTCCAGACCAGAAAGGCCTGGAGCCCTCACTTACTCCTTATGAAATGCCTCCCTTCCTCTGAGCCCCAATTTTCTCACTTGCAAATGCACATAACAATCTCTTTCTTTCAGGGCAATGTGAGTTCTGTCTGTTCAGAGCTGTGAGCTGGTGTGAGGACTCCAGGAACAGCAGGTGCTCTGTGCATGCCAGCTCACCCTGGGCAAGAATCCATGACCCACTTGTTTACTGTGGTAAAAAAAGAATAAAGTACTTAGGCATAGATTTAACAAAGAAATAAGAAAGTTATACTCTGAAAACTATAGCACATGGTTGAAAGACATTAAAGAAAACCTAGCTCTGGCTGGAGGGAGCTCACATGGTTGGACTGTAGTCCCTGTAGATCAAATGGTTGCTGGTTCGATTCCTGGTCAGGGTGTTTATGGGAGGCAACTGATCGATGTTTCTTTCTCTCTCTCTCTCCTCTCCTGTCTCTCTGAAATCAATGAACACATCCCTAGGTAAGGATTTAAAAAAAAAACTAAAGAAGACCTAAACAAATGGAAAAACATCCCATGTTCTTGGATAAAGAGACTTAATATTGTTAACTTGGCAATACTCCCCAAATTTATCTACAAATTTAATGCAATACCTATCAAAATTCCAGCTGGCTTCTTTGAAGAAATTGACAAGCTGGTCTTAAATTCAAAGAAATTTCTAGAATTTCAAGGGACCCCAAATAATAAAAAAAAAATTGTGAAGAACAAAATTGGAGGATTTACACTTCCCAGTGTTAAATCTTCTATGAAGTTACTGTAATTGAGAGAGTATAGGTAGACATAGACTAATGGCCTGTCACTGAGTGTCCTGAAATAACTTTCACATTTGCAATTGACTTCAAAATAGACTATGGAGTTAACTATAAGAGCTGAACCTATAAAACTCTTAGAAGAAAATATAGGAGTAAAACCTCAAGACCTTGGGTGAGGCAATGAGTTCTTTGACATGATGCTAAGAGCACAAATGCCAAAAGAAAAAGTATGTAAGTGGAACTTCATGAAAAGTAAGGCATTTATGCTCCAAAATACCATCAGAGTCCTGACCAGTGTGGCTCAGTTGGCTGGGCATCATCCCACAAAGCAAAACTTCACAGTTTGATTCTCAGTCAGGGCACACACCTGGGTTGTGGGTTCAGGCCCTGGTTAGACCACATAGGAGAGGCAACCAATTGATGTTTCTCTCTCACATCGATGCTTCTCTCTCTTTCTCCCTCCCTCTTCCTTTCTCTAAAAATAAATAAATAAATAATAAAATCCTAAAAAAATATATAACTCAAACTTATAAAAAAATACCATCAGAAAAGTGAAAAGACAACTGCCAGAAAGGGAGAAAGTATTTGGAAATCAGGTGTGAGGGGACCCGTATCTAGAACAAATCTAGAACTCTTATGCCTCAATCATCAAATGACAAACCAATTTAAAAATGAGCCAAGAAACTGAATAGGTATTTCACCAAAGAATGTACAGATGGTCAATAAGCACAGGAAAAGAGGTTAAAAGTCAGTAGCCATCAGGGAAAACCACAATGATATACCATTTCACCCCACTAAGAGGCTATAATATAAAAACAAGATAATAACATGTATTGGCAAGGATGTGCAAAAACTGGAATCCTCATATATTTCCAATAGGAATGCAAAATAGTGCAGCCTCTTTTAAAAAAGGAGAAAGATTTGTGTGATCTGAAGAGTAACCAGAGTATAATGCAGCCTCTTTTAAAAACGGTTTGGCGGTTTCTTAAAGAGATAGACATAGACTTACCTTACAACCCAGAAATCCCACTTAGAGGTATATACTCAGGTTAGGAGGAAAACTCAGTCTTCCTCCTGTGTTTCTTCCTCACTCTCACACAAGTGCCCCACTCACAACACTGCTGACACCAACCATGTCAGGGTTTTGCCACATCAAGCAATTCTATGACATCAGCTGGGTAGCCTATAATTTAACTCAGTTCTGAGTCATCCACCTGGACCTGGCATCAGATTCCAAAGGGAAAGGGCTCAGTCTCTCGAGTCTGCTACCAACTTCAGATGCCAATGATAAGCCCAGAGGGTCATCTGTGCTCCCTCTGGAGCATCTGGCCAACAGGCTATAAATGAAGGTTCCCATGACCACTCCTTGGAATGGATTGATTTGCTAAAGCACGTCACAGAACTTGGGAAAATAGTTTACTTACATGTACCAGTTTATTAT